GCACATAAACCACTATTACCACTATTCAACAAGACAAAGACCAATATGCCTCCAAGGATTGAGAAGTGGGTTATGCAGATGCAAGATGTAGACTATGAACTGATCTATGAACCCGGAAAGGACGAAGCCGACCCAYTAGACTACCTCTCCAGGCATCCATTACCCGAGACAGAAGACGACGGCACCGAGAAGATCATCAAATGGACTGTAGAAGCAGAGCATTCAGTAGTTCTGGAAAGGATAAGAGAAGAGACACTGAAAGACAAGACATTGCAGAAACTATCTCAGAGGATAGCGAAAGGTGACTGGGAGAAATTCCGAAAAGACAGAGACATAGAGCCGTACACACACATCAAGCAAGAACTATCAACAGCGGAAGGATTGATCTTTAGAGAGGAAAGAATTGTACTACCAGAGAATCTTCAAAGAAAAGCAGTGAAGATAGGACACAGTCTAGGACACCTTGGGAAGACAAAGACAAAGAGAATGTTAAGAGAGAAGTATTGGTTCCCGTATATGAATCACATGATAGACAATGCTATTGACCAATGTTACGAGTGCCAGGTTGCAACGAAAGACAAACAAACAGAACCAATCAAGGCTTCAAGTATTCCAGACAAGCCCTGGGACACTGTATCACTGGATCATGGCGGACCCTATCCTGACGGACACTACMACCTAGTCATTATTGACAAAAGAACAAGATACCCTGTCGTAGAAAGAGTATCATCAACTTCTTWCACAACCAACAAAGAGAGGTTGAAACATGTATTTGCGACATACGGGACACCAAGGAGGATAGAAAGCGACAATGGACCACCATTCAACTCAAGAGACTTTGAAGACTTCGCAAGAAAAGAGGGATTTCAACATCACAAGGTAACACCATTACACCCTAAAGCGAATGGAGAAGCTGAAAGGTTTATGCAGATGCTGAATAAAACAGAAAAAATAGAGCACCTACAAGGCAAAGATAAACTAGAAAGTCAGAACGCAATTCATGACATGCTCACCGCATACAGGTCAACTCCACATCCAGCAACAGCAGTATCACCYYACGAGGYGATGAGGGGAGTAGCTGTAAGAACGAAGCTCGATTACATAGCACCCAACAAACAGACATCAGAAGAAGACGAACAGATAAACAAGAACGACGCAAGATACAAGGAGAAGATGAAAGTGCAGAGAGAAAACAATCGAACAAAGGAAAAGAGACTGCTACTCGGAGACTACGTGTTAGTCAAACAAGAAAACAAAAACAAATGGAGCACACCATATGAACCCATATTCTATACAATCTGCGATATTCAAGGATCCAAGATAACAGCAAGAAGAACAACAGATGGACGCACAGTTTGTGGGGACGCAAGTTACTTCAAACTAGTCAACACTGTCATCAACACTGCAGATGAAGCAGAAACGGTTGGACCAAGCCAGGAAGAACCGAAGGCGACAACAGACACCAAGCAGGAAGACCCTAGAGAGAGAATTCTGAGGGAAACCAAAAGTCATGAGGATCGGAAGAAACCACCGAACAACGAAGAGAAACAAGCGGAGCTGAAGGAGAAATCATCAAAGATGACTCAAGTTAAACAGGAGAAAACCGAAGAGCGAGTGGAAAGTGAAAAACCACAAGATGAAGGAGAGAAATCAAACCGACCAAGAAGGGAAAGACGAAGACCCAAGACGTTTGAAGACTACTATATGTACCCTTAGGGATAGAGGACATGGAACATTGTTATAGTTGAGTTTTATTCTACTTCAACATGAAAAAAAAAAAACAAAACAAAACAAAACAAAAACATCATTTAGCAATGATAATAATTAGGTTATATAATTCAGTACTCATACGAAAGAGACACATGGACATTTGGAAGAAAGGGTGAGATGTAGTATCCATAGCAACTAATCRTGTATGATAATTAGCTAAGTTGTGAATAATAAATAGTTGATCTAGATATGGCGTCGAGTCACTACAGGTGTACTCCGCCTTTCAGGTCGAAAGGTGTAAATTCTGAAAGCCCGAGTCCAGGCGACTCGGGCCTGCACAACCACCAAGTCCCAAGGGCATTGGGAATACGAGAAATGGGTGTGCAAAGTCTTGGCGGGAAAAAGTCGTGCACGGGTGAAATCCGCCTTTCCGGTCAAAAGGTGTAAATTCTGAAAGCCCGAGTCCTGGCGACTCGGGCAGCACAACCCCGACGTCCCCAGGGCAATTGTAAAGTGAAAAATGGGGCTCCAAAGTCATGGCGGGAAAAAGTCGTGCCCGGGTAAACTCCGCCTTTCCGTTCCGAAGGTGTAAATTGTCCTGGCGACTCGGGTCTGCACAACCCCGACGTCCCCGGGTCATTTGGAAGGTGAGAAATGGTGGTCCAAAGTCTTGGCGGGAAAAAGTCCTGCACGTCTGAACTTCGCCTTTCCGGTCGAAAGGTGTAAATTCTGAAAGCCCGAGTCTTGGCGACTCGGGGCTGCCCAACCCCGACGTCCCCAGGCCATTTGGAATGTGAGAAAAGGGGGTCCAAAGTCCTGGCGGAAAAAAGTCGTGCAAGGGTTTACTCCGCCTTTCTGGTCGAAAGGTGTAAATTCTGTAAGCCCGGGTCCTGGCGACTCGGGGCAGCACAACCCCGACGTCCCCAGGGCAATTGTAAAGTGAAAAATGGGGCTCCAAAGTCTTGGCGGGAAAAAGTCGTGCACGGGTAAACTCCGCCTTTCCGTTCCGAAGGTGTAAATTGTCCTGGCGACTCGGGTCTGCACAACGCCAGCGTCCCCAGCGCATTTGGAAGGTGAGAAATGGGGGTCCAATATCTTGGTGGGAAAAAGTAGTGCACGGGTGAACTCCGCTTTTCCGTTCGAAAGGTATAAATTGTCCTGGCGACTTTGTGCTGCACAACCCCGACGTCCCCAGGGCATTAGGAAGGTGAGAAATGGTAGTCCAAAGTCTTGGCGGGAAAAAGTCCTGTACGGCTGAACTCCGCCTTTCGGTTCGAAAGGTGTAAATTCTGAAAGCCCGAGTCCTGGCGACTCGGGGCTGCACAACACCGACGTCCCCAGCCCATTTGGAATGTGAGAAATGGGGGTCCAAAGGCTTGGCGGGAAAAAGTCGTGCTAGGGTTTACACCGTCTTTCTGGTCGAAAGGTGTAAATTCTGAAAGCCCGAGTCCAGGCGACTCGGGGCTGCACCACCACGAAGTCCCCAGGGCATTGTAAGGTGAGAAATGGGGGTCCAAAGTCTTGGCGGGAAAAACTCGTGCAAAGGTGAACTAGGCCTTTCCGGTCGTTCACCCGTGCACGACTTGTTCCTGCCAAGACTTTGGAAGCCCATTTCTCACTCCGCCTTTCCGGTCGAAAGGTGTAAATTCTGAAAGCCCGAGTGACTCACCCGTGCAAGACTTTTTCACGCCACGACTTTGGACCTCCATTACTTACTCCGCCTTTTCAGTCGAAAGGTGTAATCTGAAAGCCGGAGTCCAGGCGACTCAGGTCTGCACCACCCCGACGTCCCCATATAATTTGCTAGGTGAGAAATGGGGATCCAAAGTCTTCGCGGGAAAAACTCGTGCTCAGGTGAACTCCGCCTTTCCGTTCGGAAGGTGTAAATTCTAAAAGCCCGAGTGCTGGCGACTCGAGGCTGCATAACCCCAATGTTCCCATGGAATTAGGAAGGTGAGAAATAGGGATCCAAAGTCTTGGCGGGAAAAAGTCCTGCACGGGTGAACTCCGCCTTTCCGGTCGTTCACTCGTGCACAACTTTTTCACGCCAAGACTTTGGAACCCCATTTCTCAATACGCCTTTCCGGTCGAAAGGTGTATATTCTGAAAGCCCGAGTCCAGGCGACTCGGGGCTGCACGACCATGACGTCCCTAGGGCATTTGGAAGGTGAGAAATGGGGGTCCAAACTCTTGGCGGGAAAAAGTCGTGCACGGGTGAACTCCGCCTTGACGGTCGTTCACGCGTGCACGACTTTTTTCCCACCAAGACTTTGGAACTCTATTTCTTACTCCGCCTGTTCAGTCGAAAGGTGTAAATTCTGAAAGCCCGAGTCCAGGCCACTCGGGGGTGCACAACATCGACGTCCCCAGGGCATTTGCAACGTGAAAAATGGGGTTCCAAAGTCTTGGCGGGAAAAACTCGTGCAAGGATGAACTACGCCTTTCCGTTCAAAAGGTGTAAATTCTGAAAGCCCGAGTCCAGGCGAATTGTTGCTACACAACCCCGACGTCACCAGGTCATTTCGAAAGTGAGAAATAGGCGTCCAAAGTCTTGGCGTGAAAAAGTCGTGCACGGGTGAACTCCGCCTTTCCGGTCGAAAGGTGTAAATTCTGAAAGCCCGAGTCCAGGCGACTCGGGGGTGCACAACCCCGACGTCCCCAAGGTATTTGAAAGGTGAGAAATGAGGGTCCAAAATATTGTCGGGAAAAAGTCGTGCTCGGGTGAACTCCGCCTTTCCGTTCGAAAGGTGTAAATTCTGAAAGGCCGAGCCAATGCGACTCGCTTCTGCACCACCCCGACGTCCCAAGTGCATTTGGAAGGTGCGAAATGAGGGTCCAAAGTCTTGTCAGGAAAAAGTCGTGCACGGGTGAGCTCCGCCTTGCCGGTCGAAAGGTGTAAATTCTGAAATCCCGAGTCCTGGCAACTCGTGGCTGCACCACCACGACGTCCCCAGGGCATTGCAAGGTGAGAAATGGGGGTGCAAATTCTTGGCGGGAGAACCTCGTGCGAGGGTGAACTACGCCTTTCCATTCGAAAAGTGTAAATTCTGAAAGCCCGTGACCAGGCGAATCGTGGCTGCACAACCCCGACGTCATCACGACATTTGGAAAGTGAGAAATGAGGGTCCAAAGCCTTGGCGGGAAAAACTCGTGCACGGTTTTACTTCGCCTTTCCGGTCGAAAGGTGTAAATTCTCAAAGCGTTAGTCCTGGCGACTCGGGGCTGCACAACCCCGACGTCCCCAGGGAATTTGGAATGTGAGAAATTGGGATCCAAAGTCTTGGCGGGAGAAACTCGTGCAAGGGTGAACTACGCCTTTGCATTCGAAATGTGTAAATACTGAAAGCCTTAGAGCAGGCGACTCGGGGCTGCACAACCATGACGTCCCTAGGGCATTTGGAAGGTGAGAAATGGGGGTCCAAAGTCTTGGCAGGAAAAACTCGTGCTAGGGTTAACTACGCCTTTCCGGTCGAAAGATGTAAATTCTGAAAGCCCGTGAACAGGCGAATCGTGGCTGCACAACCCCAACGTCATCAGGACATTTGGAAGTGAGAAATTGGGGTCCAAAGCCTTGTCGGGAAAAATTCGTGCACGGGTTTACTTCGCCTTTGCGGTCGAAAGGTGTAAATTCTCAAAGCGTGAGTCCTGGCGACTCGGGGCTGCACAACCCCGACGTCCCCAGGGAATTTGGAAGGTGAGAAATTGGGGTCCAAAGTCTTGGCGGGAAAAAGTCGTGCAAGGGTGAACTCCGCCTTTCCGGTCGAAAGGTGTAAATTCTGAAAGCCCTAGTCAAGTCGACTCGGATCTGCACCACCCCGACGTCCCCAAGGTATTTGGAAGGTGAGAAATGGGGGTCCAAAGTCTTGTCGGGAAAAAGTCGTGCACGGGTGAACTCGGCCTTTCCGTTCGAAAGGTGTAAATTCTGAAAGCCCGAGTCAAGGCGACTCGGTTCTGCACCACCCCGACGTCCCAAGTGCATTTGGAAGGTGCGAAATGGGGGTGCAAAGTCTTGGCAGGAAAACGTCGTGCACAGGAGAGCTCCGCCTTTCCAGTCGAAAGGTGTAAATTCTGAAAGCCCGAGTCCAGGCGACTCGGGGCTGGACAACCATGACGTCCTTCGGGTATTTGGAAGGTGAGCAATGGGGGTCCAAAGTCTTGTCGGGAAAAAGTCGTGCACGGGTGAACTCGGCTTTTCCGTTCGAAAGGTGTAGATTCTGAAAGCCCGAGACCAGGCGACTCGGGTCTGCACCACCCCGACGTCCCCAGGGCATTGGAAGGTGAGAAGTGGGGGTCCAAAGTCTTGTCGGGAAAAACTCGTGCAAGGGTGAACTACGCCTTACCGGTCGTTCACCCGTGCACGACTTTTTCACGCGAAGACTTTTGACCCCCATTTCTCACTCCGCCTTTAAAGTCGAAAGATGTATATTCTGAAAGCCCGAGTCCAGGCGAATCGTGGCTGCACAACTCCGACGTCATCAGGACATTTGGAAAGTGAGAAATGAGGGTCCAAAGTCTTGGCGGGAAAAACTCGTACACGGGTAAACTCCGCCTTTCCGGTCGAAAGGTGTAAATTCTGAAAGCCCGAGTCCAGGCGACTCGTGGCTGCACCACCGCGACGTCCCCAGGGCATTTGGAAGATGAGAAATGAGGGGGCCAAAGTCTTGTCGGGAGAAAGTAGTGCACGGGTGAACGCCGCCCTTCCGGTCGTTAACCCGTGCACAACTTTTTCACGCCAAAACTTTGGACCCCAATTTCTCACTCTGCCTTTCCAGTCGAAAGGTATTTATTCTGAAAGCCCTAGTCCAGGCGACTCGGTGCTGCACCACCCCGACGTCCCCAAGGCATTTGGAAGGCGAGAAATGGGGGTCCAAAGTCTTGGCGGGAAAAAGTCGTGCACGGGTGAACTCCGCCTTTTCGCACGAAACGTGTAAATTCTGAAAGCCCGAGTCCAGGCGACTCGGGGCTGGACAACCATGACGTCCTTCGGGCATTTGGAAGGTGAGAAAGGGGATTCAAAATCTTAGCGGGAAAAAGCACTGTTCCAAAGATCGAATTTTCGATAAT